TACCTTCAGGGTCCAGAGGATCCCCTCAGGGTCCAGAGGGTACCTTCAGGGTCCAGAGGATCCCCTCAGGGTCCAGAGGGTACCTTCAGGGTCCAGAGGATCCCCTCAGGGTCCAGTCAGAAGCTTCTTTTTGTTTTTCCTGCAAACTCATGGGAGATCAGAGCTAGCCTTAAGCACCCAGTATATTCCGTACACGGAGGTACGCGCGTACCTCTGCAGGGCATGTCCGCGCTAAGCTCAATTTTTACGACCGCGTACGCGGTGTCGCACAATAAACTGTCCGGTGACGGACTGTTTTGTTTGTGACACCAATGTATTAAATTCCCCGTCTTCATCCCTGATCTGGGCTTTTCTTTTTTTTTTTTTCCCCAAGAGTCAAGTGATCTCTTCCTCCTCCGTTGATGCCATGACTGAAATGGTGAGAAATGAAGGAATTTGACACGAGCGAATTAAAATCAATCCCAGCGTGGCTGTGGGAGGGTCTGGAGATTTCCTGTTGGGCTGATCTGATGTGTGGGCTGCAGAGCCAGCGCTCCCTGTTTTTTTGTTTTTTTTTAAAGTATAACTTTTTATTAACAACCTATAAACACAGAACACCACTGGGGCTGCCAGCTCTCGTTTGTTTGTTTTTGACCTGTCAATCAATCAAGTAGGCGTGTCAGCAAATGACCAATCGGCGACCTCAGTTTGTCCTTAATGTAAACGCCCCTTGTCTGCAGAGCTGCTCTGCAGCTGCTCAGGGTGTACGCTCGAGTATGAAGTCTCAACCCTCCGCGTGGACGGATGTATGCGGGAGTATACTGGGGGCCTTAAGACTCGTCTGGATCCAGACTTTATTTGTCCTCAAGCTCGAGTTAATTTTACAGGACTGATGGATCAGGATCAGACCCCTCAGGACCAGAACCCTCAGGGAGTCTGAAGACATGAGACTCCAGCTGTTCTCAGCCCAACCTGTGGCAATAAATATAATTTGAGTTTGTATACTTCTCCTCAAACCCTGGTCTCTGATGGACCCCTGGTCTCTGATGGACCCCTGGTCTCTGATGGACCCCTGGTCTCTGTTGGACCCCTGGTCTCTGATGAACCCCTGGTCTCTGTTAGACCCCTGGTCTCTGATGGACCACTGGTCTCTTTTGGACACCTGGTCTCTGATGGACCCCTGGTCTCCGATGGACCCCTGGTCTCTGATGAATTCCTGTAGACCACAGTTGATGACATTAATTAATCTGTAAAAGTATTTTTTTTTTACACTTTTATTAATGTTATTATTATTTTCAACTCAGACTTTTCTGATTCCTGCAGATAAACCTGATCAAGACCAAACAGAACCAGAACTTTCTCACCCTGTAGAACTCAGATATTTGGAGAAACGGACCCATTTGTTTCTGAGCTGCTGGTTCTTTAAACGTTCTTTGCTCTGTGAGCAGAAACCCTTTGGGTTTTAGATTTGACCTTTGACCCCACACTGTTGTTCCATGGTTCTGGACGGTTAAATCAGAACCATGGTTCTGGTTGCACATGTTCAGTGGTTTTAAAGGGCTCCTCCACTGGTTCTGTCTTTATTCAGACAGAGATCTGTTTGTTTTCCGCTCTGACGTTGGACTTACGGGCAAAAAGGAAAACCGGCACATAACGTTTTTATTTTCTTGCAAACACTGTAAACTGTGGTTCTGGTGGATCGATGAGGAACATTTGGACCGAGGAGGGTCTGATGACCCGTGGCTCTGTGAAGATTCAGCCTCTGCAAGTTTGAAGTCCTGTTCAGTCTTGTTTCCTGTAAGCGCTGGAAGAGGACATGCTAACGAGTTACTCAGTGTGGCTACATCACTTCCTCTTCCTTCAGTTGGCCCCGCCCTCAAAAACCCCACTGCTGGTGTCACAGTGTGAAGAATATCGTCGTGCCTTAAAGTTTCAGCTCTTTGCACAACAAGAGTGAAAATTGAACTTTACATATTTGTTCCCTGAACAGGAGAAAGAAAAGGATACAGGAAGTAAGTGACTGTAAAAACAGGAAGTAATCGGCTGTAAGAACAGGAGGTAATTCGCTGTAAGGACAGGAAGTGAACAACTTTAGATACAGGAAGTATTCAACTGTAGGAAAAGGAAGTGATCGGCCATAAAAACAGGAAGTAATTGTCTGTAAGGACGGGAAGTGAACGACGGTAGATACAGGAAGTGCTCGACTGTCGAAATTGGAAGTAATCAGCCGTAAGGACAGGAAGTGATTGGCTGTAGAAACAGAAAGTAATCGGCTGTAAGAACAGGAAGTAATCGGCTGTAAGGACGGGAAGTGAACGACAGTAGATACAGGAAGTATTCCACTGTTGAAATTGGAAGTGATCGCCGTAAGGACAGGAAGTGATAGACTGTAGAAACAGGAAGTGATCGGCTGTAAATGTTCAGTTTTATGGTTCTGTTCCTGTTTTTGGATCATCACTTGTATAAAAAGAATCAGTTGTGTGAAAAACTTCCGGTACTTTTATTAAGTTAGGATTATGTCCAGTTGTAATAATCCTACATCAATAAAAGTAAAGGCAAACATTGAATTGATCGAGGTTCAATCCATTTAATTGATCTATCAAACAGAACCAGACTTTTGGACCTCGGTGTGAAAACTACACGTTAACCCTGTTCACACGTACCGTAGATTAAAATAAACCTTCAGCCTGTAGAACTCAGGAATAAACCTTGCGAACCGACCGCTGGTTGATGTTTGAAGAAAAACCACATGTGGTCCAGGTCTGGGACCAGCCTGATCCCCTGGAGGTCTTTGTTTGAATCTTCAGGATTTGTTTTCAGTTTTTCAGACGATGAAACATTCACAGATTTTATTAGAAATAAAAACAGTTTTGTGTGTTTGAATGTTTAAATCCGTCAGGAGGAGTTTAATCTGTGGATGTCATTAATCCAGATTAACTCAGAAACATTTTTTGTTTTTAACTTTCTGATTGAAACACTTGATTTGTTTCACTTCAGACACTGAAAACTGTAGAAACGAGGAGCTGTTGTTCTTTGTCGACTTCAGTTTTACAGAAATCACCCCACCCCTGAAGAGTACCTTGATCCAGGTGGTCTGTGTGGTCTAGCTGGACCAGGTGCTTCAAGACTGGTAGCTGTTGTCCCGGCTTGTGCTGCATTCAGGTGCTGTGGGTCACATTTTATCTCTGAACTGAAAGGAAAATAAAAACATTGTTTTCATTGTAAATGGTCCTGATCGAGCTCCCAGAATGCACTGCTTCTTCCTAAAACCCGACAGAAACAGGAAGTTTGTCTGAGATGCTGATTTGATTCATTTTAAATCCAAGACCAACTTTTCATAATTTAAAAACGGACACAACAGAAGTTTAAGAACTCATCAGTGATGTCATGATTAGCTTCTCTCAGCTTCCTGTCAGGTCGTCTCACTTCCTGTCAGGTCGTCTCACTTCCTGTCAGCTCGTCTCACTTCCTGTCAGCTCGTCTCACTTCATGTGGCCTCAACTCGTGCACAGATTTTTATATTTTTCAGTTTCCTCTGCATCAATAAAAACGGTTAATCCTGTGTTGGAGCTTAGACAGAAACGAGTCCAAACATTTCATTTTTTGAGTTAAAAGAACTCCGTTTGTGATTATTGTTGTTGTTGTGCCTGGTTTTTAAGTTTTGTGAGGATTTAAATAAATTGTCTTCAGTTCAGTCATAAATTTATAAAAACATCTGAATGTAATATTTTAGAATTCAGGATTTTTCTTGTGTAACAATTCATTTGTTCAGTTTTTAATTTTGGTTGAACTCATCCTGTTAGTTGACAGGCGGGCGATAATGTAGTGGCCTGTGTCTGTTGGGATTGGAGGTTTGCTCTCGGTGCCTTTTCTTGTTTCAGCTTTTTGCACTTTGATCTCTGCAGAGATGTTTGAACAGTCTTTGGCTGCCATCAGACGAGCTCTGACGGACGTCTGCTTCAGCCTCAAACCAAAACTTCCGAGCTCCTCGAGTTCACTTTGAGTTTGGAGTCTTTGCAGGGTTTCACTGTAAAATGACAGCTGTCATTCAAAATGTTTATTTCTGTAATTAACTGAAATAAAAAGCTCTCACCAGCAGCTTGTGTTTTCCCTTCAGGCTTCTTCCCATGATGCATCAGTGAGCCGTGGCTGGGCCACCCGCTTTGGTTTAAATTTGACTTTATTTGTGCATTTTTGACTAAAACATGAAGATTTCAGGTTTAGCAGATCAGATTACAATTCAGATCAATGCGAGCTGTACAAATTTAACAAAAAGACTTAGTCAGCAAACAAATAAAAACAACTAAAACAGTCACTGAGAGAGAAAAACAAACCAGCTGACAGGAGTTTCCTGAGAGGAAAAGTGAGACGTTAAAAGTAAAACGCCTTAAGATTCCCTCTGAGTCTCCACTTCCTGTTAAAAATGACGACAGAAAAATTCTGGTCCTCAAGCAGCTACTGCAGAACACACTTCATGGACTTAAAGAACCCACTTCATGGACTTAAAGAACCCAC